GGAGGAGGAGGGATGAAACAAAGAACAGGGCAAAAGTGAAGAAAAGGAAATAAAATTGAAAAACGAGAATTGATCAGAAAAGGTTATGCAGAGGCACAGAGAGAAAGCGAGAGAGGGAGAGAAGAGGTTCGAAAGATGATTGCATTTATTGAATTCCGCAGACGTCACTTCTTGACCACACATCATTATTGCTCTGCATCCGAGACAATATGCAAGCGTCCCGGTCTCTAAACCTCTGTCTCATTCCCATTCCCGCCTCTAGAAAAGACCAATTTAGCACCATTTTCTTCTTCTTTTTTATTTTATTTTACCTTGCTTGAATTCGTCCCCTTATAAGTTCGAAACTCTGTCTTCCAAGAAGAGGAAGAAAAAAAGGGGAGGCAGACTCAATTCCTTGACATCCTCTTGCCCTGTCGCACGCGAAACTGAACCGTCTCACATTTTTTTGGCGACGCGCCGCTAACAACGCGTGATTCCATCATCACCATCATCGTCACCAAAACACTCAGCATCATCCCTCTTCCAAGCCACGAGAAGAAAAAATGAGCAGGCAACTCGAGCAGGCCCTCTTCTCGCTGATGCCGGCCTACGGCTCGGATCTGCCGCCTTCTCTCGTCGAGCTCGCCAGCTCTCTAGTCTCACAGTCGCGTTTCAAGGCCGGCAACCTCAAGGCAGAAGAAGAGGTGGCACGGCTATATGCGTGCGCCAACCTAGCCTGTGATCGGTGAGTTGTTCATACACACACACACACACACACACACACACACTTACTCTCTCTCTCTCTCTCCCCCTCTCTCTCTTCCTTTCTGGCAGGGGGGGGCGGACAGGTCCGAAGAAGAAGAACAAGGAAAGACACTGACCAGAAAGTTCCAGCCTCAAAACCTCCCTGGACCTCCCTCCGATCCAACCACGACCGCCCATCCCCCCTCGTATATACAAGCGTCTATACAACCATCTGGACCGCGTGATTCCCTCGCCGACCTCGACGCCCACGCGCACACGATCCCTGCGCACACGGACGCCTACGTCCCGCGCTGCTGCTGCGGCCGACGACCGCCCCATGCCGTCGAGGGCGACGCCGACGGCGGAGCAGAGCCTGGCACAGTTCCGCACCGGCGACGCCCCGTCGACCACGCCCACCGGCGCCAGGAGGAGCAGGAGATCGGCGGCGGTGACGGCTACCGTGCGGCCCTGGGTGCGGCCCGTGGCGAGGTTCGCGTGCGCCGAGACGGGCCGGCCGAAGCTGGCGTTGACCGTGGTGGCGGGCATGGAGGCCATCACCGTGCCTGGCGGGCGCGAGACGAAGGATGACTGGGTGCGCGGCAACTACGCTGCCCTCTTTGCCGCCGTCCTCTACTGGTCCGTCGCGCGGGCGAGGGCCGCCCTGGCCGGGAAGGAGGTCACGCGTGGCCAGCCGTCGCTGAACCAGAGGAGGGAGATCATCTCCCTGCTCGCCAGGGCGCGCAGGGCCGTCACGGTGCCCACGCCCACGCCCACGTCTGCCTCTGCGTTTGCGGGGCAGGATGACGCCGGCGACGATGATGGTGACGCTGGGTGGTGGGCCGGCTGGGCTGATCTCAAGCCGCGCGACTTCAATGCCGCCGTGGCCACGGTGGAGCAGCGTGGGTGGCTGGGCGATTGGTGGACCGCCATAGACGACGTGGTCGAGGCCAAGGGCTGGGATGGCAAGGACGAGGGCGAGCATGGTGAAGATGCGGATCTGGCCGGACCCATACGCGTCCGGAGGGCAGACACGATGCTCCAGGACAAGTACGACTATCTCAGTGCAGCGCGGAAAGCGCGGTACCAGAGCTGGAGGGCAGATTTACTCGCCAGGATGACTCCTGTGACGGTGGTGGACGGCAACGCCATGGAAGTGGACAGCCGCTGAGTTCGTCGACGGTGGCAGGTTTAGAACACTCTGTACTATTATGGAACGGTACATGTATATATGTGCATATGCATACGCGTGCTCTGTATGTTCATGCAAGCTTGTCACTACTAGGCAAGCTTTCCAGGCACGTACGGGTGACCGGCGCTCAACCCGCCGTCGACGGCCCAGGCCTGCCCATTGACGTAGCTGCTCTCGTCGCTGCCGAGGAAGAGCGCCACGCGGGCGATCTCGTCTGCGTGGCCACCTCTCCGCGCCGGATTGAGCTGGCCAATCTTCCTTTCCGTCCCGCGGGCCCTGGCAGCGCTGTAGACGGTCTCCGTCATGCCCGTCTCGATGAGCCCCGGGCAGATGGCATTGACACGCACGCCTGTCCCAACCAGCTGGTAGGCCACCGTCTGGGCCAGGGATATGACGGCCGCCTTGGATGCCGAGTAGGGTGTGCTCCCAGCATTAGAGCGTAGTCCGGCCACTGACGCCGTGCCGATGATGGAACCTCCCGACTGAGGTTTAGACGGAGACGTCTTCTGCATGGCCGGGGCTGCATGCTTGGCTGCCACGAAGACGCTGCATACAGCATGTCAGATGCGATGGGTGGGAGGAAGGTGAGGAGGAAGGAAAGAAGAAAGAACGAAAAGAAGGAGGGAGGGGGAGAGGGGAGGGGGAGAATACTGTACCTGAGCGCGTTGACCCTCATGATCTCCATAAATTCCTCACTGGAGATTTGGTCAAACTTGAGGGGCGGCCCTACGATGCCAGCATTGGCAAAGTAGACGTCCAGCCTGCCGTACTGCCGCACGGCCTCGTCCACCACAGCCTTGACCTTGACGTCGTCGGCCGCGTCCAGCTGGCGCGTGTGGACCTCGACGGACGGGTAGGCCTCGTTCAACTCTTTCTTGTGGTCGTCCAGGTACGAGTCGTCAAAGTCGCACAGGTATATGGCCTTGGCGCCAGACTCGGCATACTGGTGGGCTGTGGCCCGGCCGATTCCCATAGGGGAGTTGGTGCCTTTTTTTTTTAAAAAAAAAAAAAGAGAGAAAGAGAGGGTGAGATACAGTTAATCATGTTTCCGGGAAGCAATTAAGAAAAGTATACGAACAGAATGCATAGACTCACCTGTAATGATGGCTATCTTGTCCTTGACTCGAAGCGTCCTCGAACCGGCTGCCACCTTCTTGATCGGAGGCAACGATGATGATGATGATGATGATGATGAGCTGCCTCCGCCACCCTCGAGATGCTGGCCGACAGCCTGGATACGACGCTGTGCTTGGTCGGACATGGCTACAAAAGGTGAGACCGGATGGACCGTAATTCAATGCAAGGATATTTATAGATGTGTTCCAGGCTGACAGAAGCAAGAAAATAAAAGGAGTAGAAGAAGACAGGATATTCGAAAGTAGTGAGGGAACGGTAGGTCGACACTCGTATGCGCGATGCTGTAATGAGTTGAAATCCGGGGAAGCTGCGGTGGGGGTTGCTCCTACCTCGGTTGAGGTAGGGATGGATGGACAGGTACTTACATCATCACATCATCCCGGGTGAATGAATGTAACTGTTAACAATCTACCACCATTCATCCCATTCACCTCATTCATCACCAGACTGGAACTGGTAATAATAGCCTCGACACTGGCAACACGTATTACTACTACGACGGTAAGAGCCTCCCACTCTCTCCTCTCATCTACATCTTCTCCCCATCTCACAGAGACTCACACCATACACAACATCCTGTGTTCAGATGTATTTTTAGTTAAGAGGCAGCCACCTCGCGATCGTGGAGAATACGAGACCGTACACGATTGGTACATTGGCATCTTCATCTCTAAGATACTTGGTAGTTCGTCGAACGCACATGGCTTTTTCCGCTTGGTACAACGTCTCTAGGTCCACGAGCTTGGTCGTCAGCCACGTGCATAACGGTCTACAGGTGGCTGCGTGGGACGAGGACGATGACGGGGATGGCTACGCTCCGGCGACTATCGCGACTATCACGACAATCAGAGCAGTCTTCCCCAGCCGACCACACCGCTCCCCCCCTCGTATTGCCTTGAGACAACGCGGATGGATAGAGCCATGTACTGGAGCTATTGTACGCCACGTTGAGGAAGAGACTGAGAAGCCATGAGTGAGTTGCACGACATAGTTCTTCCGTCAAGGGTCGATAGTGCTCAGTACGTCGAAGGGTCAAGAAATGATATGATATAATATTCACCTCGCTACGAGTCAGAACGACTAGCCTATTACGCTGTACAGATATGTACCATGGAATCCCCTGCAAGGAAAATCATGCAGATCACAACCCTCGTATCGTGTCATCATTTCCGCCCAACAGAGTCGGTAAGAGGCGGAACACCGCAGCAAGCTCAATTGTGACGGCGCGCAGTCTGTATCACCACACACATTCGGATTCGAGCCTGGATTCTTTCGCGTGCGATGGCAGTTTCACAACAGCATTCTCGTCTCGACTCGCCTCGACTTATCATGGCCATTTCGTTTCTCCTCTTCCCCCGGGCGGCCGCTCGAAATCTGTCTTCCTCGTCTCGTTTCGTGGTCGGCGACCTTGTTGCCATGGTACGCCGGGGGGGGGTGTTCACTATCTGTCCACCTCCCGCGGCCGACGCCAAACGTCAGCGTAGCCTACGGGTTGTTCATATCTTTGGATGGCAGCTCCTCTTATCCTAGATGCTCATAAGATTGTCCATAGGCCAGGCGGCAGCCGAGCCATTGCCCCGTATTTTCTCGGTCTAAACTGTAAGGCTGGCGATCTTTCCCTCACCGTCTTTACGTTCCTCTTTGGGAAATAGGTCACCAGCAACACGTTGGCATCCTTTATATACTTGTGGCTCTCCCCTCCGATTTCATCTCGCAAGAAAACTTTCTTCCCCTGATTGGGTGCCGTCAAAGCCCCGAGTCTCGGGTCCGATCTGAGGGGCGACTTTTCCTCATCTCTACCCTGTGTCATATCTCCCCGGCCGGGCCAACCTCGCCGCTGCGACGCCTTTGACGGAAGAGGTGAAGAGAAGACAGGATGAAGAGGGGAATGGAGGATGGACGTCAAGATGCAAAGAGGCCTTGGGGGTTCATCACGAAGGCTGTCACCGACGCTCCAGCCTGCATTTCCGACTGTCAAGAACGGTTCCTCGAGAGCCTTGTCAAGAAGCAGGGGTCATTCGAGCGGGTCTGCGACTTTCTGGCCTCGGATATCCCTTTCGGAGACGAAGCCACGCTCGATCCTTTGTGGAATCTCTACTGCTGTGAAGCCCAGCTCTGCGGGGTGGATCACCTGGACAGCAAAGAAGAAGATCGTATGGTATTCCAGCTTTCCCGTGTAGCTTCATGTGACTGACACCATGCTGGGGTACTAGCCAACGTCGAGTGGATCATCAATACTTGTCAAAAGTAAGATTCCATGCCATGCTCTTCAAATTGTGTACAGCTCATCCGGCTGACAGAAATCTTTGACAGTGTCGGAAACTATTCACTGTTCGACCCGGGACCACCAAAGCCACCATACAACTGCAATGTGCCGGCAAAGGACGGGAGGGACGGTGGTCTGAGCGAGGTAGAGCAACAGCAGACGAGCTTGCAACAAAACGGCGAGTCGCGGCCATCGTCCAGCCCTACCATATCACGAACGCCGATGGCGGTGAAGGCACTCACAACAAGGAGTATAGCCTTGGTAAATGCGTCGACGCAGCACCCGTCAAGACAGAGTCCCTCGCTATACGAGACGGGACTGAGGATCGAGAGCAAAGATGAGAGCTCGTCGTCGCCGTCGTCGCCACCGTCATCCGGCAGCAACGGCTCCCTCTCCCACGACATCGGCACGGCCATGCAGGTGGCGATTGCCCTGTCAGTCATCGCCGGCGTCGCCGCCATCTCCCTGGCAATATTCTGCCTTACACGCCGCCGGTACTACGCAAGATCTGGTGGCTCGGACAGGACCTACAGGGGTAGACGACGGTTGATCAAGAGAAGCAGCTCCCGAACCCCGTCTCGTCCCAACTCCCCCACACCCCTTGTCTTCTGCGGGACAGGAGGAGCGCCCTTCCTGGACCCCATCTCGCCGCCATCGCCGCCGTCGCCGCCATCGCCGCCATCACCGCTATCGCCACCCCCTCTGCTCAAGGAGAGGCGAATGCTGCCCATGTCGTCTGACATCAGCGGACCGCCATCGTCTGTGTCGCTGGCCACCCAGTCGACGCAGAAGACCGGGAACCAGAGCCAGGACCGGACGCGAAAGCAGGAGAAGAACAAGAAGACTCTGATGGACCCGCCTGGCCGGCCCCCGGAGTCGAGCCCCCCCCTCACAGACTGCACGGCATCGTTCCATTCCCCGGCCAGCATCGGCGATCGCAGCGTCGCCGCCCGACCTTGGCTGTGGCGGCCGGCCGACATACCCAGCCCAGGACCACCGCCTACGCGCGCTCTACCATCCAGGCCGTCCACCACAGGCTTGGCCGCAGCTGCCCCGGCCGTAGCCGCGTCGGCGTCGGCGCCGGCGTCTTCGCCACCGCCTCGTGTGGCCGGAGCTCGCGGCGACGGTAGAGCGATAGGAGCAGCCACCAGACCGGACACGAAAGACCTACCTCCCGAGTCACGCGACCTGTGCGAGCTGACGGTGCGATACGGCAGTCCTGCGGAGAGCGGCCGCTGGAACAGCTGGGGACCCTCGGACGGGGTTGGAGGTGGGGGCGGGCCGAGCGCATCCCTGAAAAGATCCAGGGAGGCGGGGATGGACAGTCCGGTCATGGGGGAGAGGGACCTGGAGAGCCTAGGGGGGAGGTATTGAATGGGAGAGTTCAGTGTAGCCGGTTTACGTTGACCTCGGAAGTGTGGGATACGTAGCATGAGACGGGGAGGACGGGAACGTTTTGATACGTGTACGTGATGGTATTGGGACATGGGTTATCTCTGTATAGCAAAGTTTTTTTTTTTTTTTTGGGGGGGGGAGGGGGTTTAAAAAAAGAAAAAAAAAAACAAGACCAGGTAGTAATGCTGATGGTAATCTACTCGCCGATTTTGTTCTTTCTTCTCTTTCGCTCTCTCTATATTGAATTGTCCCAGTGAATTTCTCTTGTGCATATCGAATCCTTTCTCGAGGTTCAGCTGATGGTGCCTATTCTTATGCTTCATCTCTTCACGGAGCAAAAAGAAAAAGAAAAAGAGAGGGGGGAAAAAAAGGCATTTCACAGCCCATGAGCCTTGAAAGTCTTGACAAGATCCTTCACACTGGTCTCGAGATCGATCCACCTTATACCCAGCAGACGATCTGTGAAGGAGACGTCAAAGGCAAAGGTGTTATGGGGCTCCGGCCTCTCACCGCCCTGGACCTCCGGGCCGGGCACCTTGTCGGCGTACTCGGGGAAGCCGTTGCGGACGATGGCGGCGATCTCGCTGTTGGAGAAGTACCTGGCCGTGGTGAAGAGGCGCTTCCCGCCGGCCTCGGGGATCTCCAGGGCGCGGACGTGGGCGCGCGCGACGTCGCGGACGTCGACCCAGAGGGACACGGGGCCCTGCGAGGGGATGGAATGCCTCCACCGGCCGCGGAGGAGGTCGACGACCCTCTCGTTGGAGGTGTTGACGCTCTCCAGGGAGACGAGGTGGTCCACGACCGGACCGAGGACGAGGGGGGGGCAGATGGTGACGAGGTCGAAGCTGGCCGGTCCCGACCCCCCCTCCGCCCCCGACGGGGCACCTCGGGAGGCGGAGACGAAGTCCCAGGCCGATCGCTCGGCGAGGGTCTTGCTGACGCGGTACGCCGTGGCGGGGGAGCGGCCCACGTCCCGGATGGTGTCCGGGTTCCACGACGCCTCGGTGAAGGTGGTGTCCGGGTCGTGGAGGTGTGCCTCGTCTAGGATGGACGCGAAGGAGGACGTGATCACCACGCGACGGACGTTGGGGGCCCACCTGTTCACCGCGCGGAGGATGCCGGTCGTGCCTTTCACGGCTGGGTCGACGAGCTCCTTGATAGGGTCGGCTTCAGGTTACGAGAGAGAGAAAGAAAAGTCAGTCGGTAGATATCTTTTCGTCTATCTGGATCTGGGTGGACATTGCACGTTGGGGGGAGATGAGTTGGGAGAGGGAAGAAGAAAGAAGAAGAGAGAAGGAGAGAAAGAAGGAAGAAAAAAAAAAAAAAGGGGGGGGGGGGGGGGGGGGGGGTGTAAAAAAGAGAAAAAAACTCAACTCCATTTGTAGTGAAATGGACTGGCAGTGTGAAGGACAGAGTCAATGTCGGGATTCTGAGCGACGACATCATCAAAGGCGTCTTCCTTGGCCAGATCGGGCACGATGACCACCTTCAGACGGTCACCGAGGGATTTGTATGCATCTCGAATCTTCTGGGCCTTCTCCTCGTTTCGTACAGTCGTTATGACGCTGTAATTCTTTTCAAGGAGCTGATCGAGACAATGGGCTGTTTTTTTTTTGTTTTGGTTTTGGTCCGCGTCGTTCATGTTAGCTCTCTGCCCACTCCCTCTTCCTTCCTCCGATGTGTCGTCCATTCGGGGGTGGTGGAGAGGATGATGCAATAATTCAAGATTCAAGTGAAGAGGGAAAGAAAGAAGAAGAAACAAGAAACTTGCCGGCAATGAATCCTGAGCCACCTATATGATGATGACATGGGTGATATTAGCAGAAGAAGATGGGGAAGAAAAAAAGAGAAAGAAAGAAAAAAAAGAAAAAAAAAACTCACCAGTCAAGAGTACCTTGGCCATGTTGAGTATGTATGTACTATACAACTGTATATGAGCGTATATAAATGTATATATTCTCCAAAAAAAAAGTAAATAAAATCGAGCCACGCAGCGTGGGGTGGGGAAGGGAAGGTGGAAGAAAGAGGTTGAAGAGAGAGAAAAAAAAAGGAAGGAAATAGGGTCCAATGGAGAGAGAGAAAAAGGGCCTAACAAGAGAAGAGAGGGGAGAAGAGAAGAGAGGGGAAAGAAAGAAGGAGAGAGAGAGAGAGAGAGAGAGAGAGTCTAGGAGAGAGAAGGATCATCGATATAATGTCATTGCACGCCTACGTCACGTCACATACATAAATCTGTAATAATATAATAATATAATAATATGAAATAAAATATAAATACAATTTTTTTTTCCCTTGTCCCACCCTGATAACACACACACACACGCGCGCGCGCGCTTGCCCCTCACCCCTCATCATCGTAACTCGTTCCCCCTTTCCCCGCCCATCATGTCTTGTCTTGCCCCTCTTTCCCCTGCTTTTCCTCCTCCTCCTCCTCCTCCTTCTCTTCTTCTTCTCTTCTTTTCTGCTCCACAAAGTCTTTTTCTGATCTGACCCTGATCCGACCTTGATCCGACCTTGATCTGACCTTGATCTGATCTTGTAATGCACAGGTAAAATCTTGTAGCCCTTGTAGCCCTTGTAGCCTAAAAGTAGCCTAAAAGTAGCCTAAAAGTGACGACCAGCCATCACCTTCAGGGTTTCCATACAAGGGGAGGCACACACACGAGGGCCTCGACTGGTCACACAATGTTTCAGAAACGAAGTCTGAACAAGAATCGTTCAAGCAAAACCCGTCAAACCAGAAAACCATCAGACCGACGAGATGATAGGAAAAAAAAAATTCCCACAAGAGTGTGTGACAGTACTAGTCCGTAGTAATAGTAAATAGTTGTAGTAGTTGAGGGAGCATCATCTGCAACCCCCTCCGATATCATGTACAGTGTATTGTTGGGCTCTCAACGCGCGCCCCCCCCCCCCCCCCCCCCCCCTTTCCCCTTCCTCTCTCTCTCCTCTTCTTCTATCCATCTATACACGGAGCGAAGATTCAGAAGAAGGAGAGAGGAAGAGAAGAGAAGAAGAAGAAGAGGCTCCACATTGCCTCTGACTTCCATCCTCCCCATCCATCGCTTCTTCAACCCTCTTACACCCTGTTTTTTTCTTTTTTTTCTTTTCTTCTTGCTTCTTCTTCTTCCCCCCTCCCCCCCCCCACATCTCACCTCAACCGTCCATACGTCCCGACGACCCGGCAGCCACCGGGGGCGGCGCGTCCGTCTCACCCTGCGGCTGCGGCACGCCGGTCCCCAACGGATCCACGGGGGAGTCGGCCGGGATGGGTATGAACATCGGGCCGGGAGGCGAGACCGGACGATCCGGCAGCGGCTCTCCGCGTATCACCTTCTCTACCTCGGCCTTGTCGAGCGTCTCGTACTTGACCAGCGCCTGGGCGAGCAGGTCGAGCTCCTTCCTCTTGACCGTCAGCAGCTCCTTGACGTCGCCGTACGACTTCTTCAGCGTGGTCATCACCTCCGTCTCGATCTTGAATCGCGTGTCCGAGCTGAGGTGCTCGTATCGCTTCCCGTACTCGACCGGGCCCAGGATGTTGGACATGCCGAACTTGGCTACCATGGCGAAGCACAGGTCCGTGGCATTCTCCAGGTCCTATCCATCACTCGTCAGCTCCTGTCCGTTCCCTTCACCGTCTCCCTCCGACAGCCGAGATGAGGGGAGGGGCGGGACGATGCTTACCGATGACACGCCGCTCGTCACCTTGTCGTCTCCGTACTGCAGCTCCTCCGCCATCTTCCCACCGAGAGCGACGCGGATGTTGGACATGTACTCCGAAGCCGTGTGCGAGTACTTGTCCATCTGGGGCACGAAGGCCGTGTGGCCCAGCGACGGACCCTTGGGCAGGATCGTCACCTTGTACAGCCTGGACGAGCTCTCCTTGTCGAAGAGCTGGACCAGCGCGTGGCCGGCCTCGTGGTAGGCCGTCATCTCCTTCTCCTTCTCCGTGATCACCATCGACCGCCTCTCCGATCCCATGGTGACGCGGTCAAAGGCCCACTCGATGTCCGCCTTGGAGATGACGGACGCCCTGGCCCTGCTGGCCCTCAGCGCGGCCACGTTGAGCATGTTCTCCAGCTCGGCGCCGGACTGTCCGGGGGACCGGGCGGCGATGGCCTCGATGTCCACGTCGGGGGACAGCTTGAGCTTCTTGGCGTGGTGCCTGAGGATGTCGATGCGGCCGCGCACGTCCGGCAGGTCGACGTTGACGTGGCGGTCGAAGCGGCCCGGCCGGACGAGGGCCTTGTCGAGCATGTCGGGCGTGTTGGTGGCGGCGATGACGACGATGCGGGCGTCCTGGTCGAAGCCGTCGAGCTCGGTGAGCAGCTGGTTGAGCGTCTGCTTCGCGTGCGCCTGGTCGCGGGGGTTGCGCTTGCCGCCTATGGCGTCGAGCTCGTCGATGAAGATGATGGCCGGGGACTTGGACTTGGCGTTGCTGAACAGGTCACGGACGCGCTTGGCGCCGACGCCCACGAAGATCTCGTCGAACTCGCTACCGGACATGTAGAAGAAGGGGACGCCGGCCTCGCCGGCCACGGCGCGCGCGAGCAGCGTCTTTCCGGTGCCGGGAGGGCCGACCAGGAGGACACCCTTGGGCAGCTTGGCACCGAGGTCGGAGAACTCCTCGGGGTGACGCAGGAACTCGACCACCTCCTGGAGCTCGTCCTTGGCCTCCCCGCAGCCGTGCACGTCGGTGAAGCGGGCAGTCTGCTTCTCCGACGTCACCTCGGAGTCGTTCTTGGCCGTGCCCGGGCGGCGGAAGGAGCTGAGGACCTCGATCAGGATGGTGACGGCAGAGAAGCACAGCCAGGTGAAGACGACAAACGAGGCCAGGAACTTGAACCAGCGGAAGACGAGGGAGGCGGTCGACTCCTCGACAACCACGTGCACGGGCTTGCCCTTGACGCCCCTGGAGGCGTCGCCGCCGCCCATGCCGTGGCCGAGAGCGTTTCCGATGGCCGGGTCGAAGGAGGACTGGCCCGAGAAGGTGCCGGGCACGTTGGCGGCGCCGCCCATCGAGGCGAGAGCCTTGCCGTAGATGTCATCCGTAGCAGCGTTGGAGGCGAAGCGGCCAGACTGGTGCCGCGACACGATGATGCCAGGCATGTTGGCGCGCAGGAGCAGGCTGTAGAATGCGTTCTGGAGGTTGGCGTTGGTGGGGTCCCTGTTGGCATTGGCCTCGCTGGTGGCGAGCTGGTTGCGCGGGACACCGTTGATCATGCCGTAGTAAGCCCTCTGGCCCATGGCCAGAGCGGCCGCGCCGTTGTTCATCTTGTTCGTACGAGCAGCCGGGAATCGAGTAGGGTTTGTCGTCAGGAAGCGCAGGTGACCCAGCCGGGGCGCGGCTGCAGCCTGGCTGGCAAAGGGCCGGAGGAGTCGCGTCGTCGGCACGAGCATCGGCGCATGCTGGAGGAATTGTCGAGCAGCGAAAGCCGGCCTCGCGCTCATCAAGCCGAGGCGGCCCATATGCGACGCAGGCACCATGATCTGGCAGCATGCATCAGATGTCGTCAACAATTCCATACTGCATACTGAAACGCTGGAGGGGGGGGGGGGGGGGGGGAGGAGGAAGTAGGGGACGAGAGAGAGAAAAAAAAATACTCACAGGCAGCCAAGGCGCCTTTGCAATCATCATCAGCACCACACCAGTTGTTTTTTTCTCCTCTCTACCACTCTCGAGAAATTAAATGTGGGTGTGTGGTTGATGACGGGATGGGAAGATGCCAAAGGAAGAAGAGTCTCGGTCACGCGATATGGATAAGCCGCAGGGGATTGTGGGGAGGGAGTGAGAGGGGGCGGAGGCGGCGAGCGTAGAAAGTCTTGGAATTGCCGACCTTTTGGTTGGAGTAGACGGGATGTACTCGTACAGCTTGGTTATGGTAGTATTAGTATACACGCTGTAGCGGCAGCAGATCTGCCGTTCCTAGCACATGGTGTAAAGGAGCGTCGGGCCTAGATGAAGAGGGAGTAAAGAAGAGCAGAAGGGCGGGGAGGAGATGGGCTGATGATGAATCGACGGTTTGTGGGACAAAGAGAACGGATTGAAGACGATGATGAATGACGGATGACCAAGCTAGCCAATGCCTTACGAGCGGCGTCATCAGGAGTGAGTGGCCTTTTTTTTTTCCTTCCTTCCCTCTCTTTGGCCCCCCCCCCCTCCCCCAACGTTCCTTAGTCATCACGGCGTTAGGGGATGTTCCGGTTCCGCTATATATCCGGCCGACATCGCCCGTCACTTGCTCGAAGCCTTGCACTTTGCTGTACTGTTATTGATTAGTAATACTACAGATGTACATATGTGCGAGTATTCGGTCAGCATCGAAGGAGACTGCATCTTCTGCCCACCCCGGCGATTAAGCAGGTAAAAGTCCAGAATCCGTACTCGGTTATCCAATACTGCTGAAAATCGGACGGTTCACCTGAAGCGGTGACGTCTGACGAGATGGTAACTCGCAGTCCATCATCTTCTCATCTCCCCTCCTCACATCCTGACCCGTCCATGCGAGTAGAAGGTCCGCTATGCGTGACGGAGCATGAAACACCGCTGCCGGTTTAGGATGATGCTTTCCGGAGCAGAAGATCGCTTCTCTCATCGTTTCCGGTCACAGCATCGTGGTGGCAGAGCTTGTGCGCGCGTGTGTGTCTGTACATCATGACTCGTTGTGTTGGTGAGTGGCTATGTAAGCAGTAGAGATCGTCCCTATCGCCCGGCTTGTTCCTTATGATGCAAAGGAAGATGTTCCCAACATATAGAATGCTAGCGAGTGCCTTATGCATCATAGTATGCATGCAGTTCGAACAACTGGCCGGCTACTGACTAGTACGGTATTAGTAGTAGTGTACTCATACCCCATACATGTACATATACTATTACCCATCTCGTCTCTTTTATATATATATACGTTACTATTTCTCCCCGGGTACATATGCATGCGTTGGCAAGACATGGCCGTTCCCTCAAAATTTTCTCTCTTTTCTCTCTATAATAAGAAGGAAAGGGGGAAAGGGGAAAAGGAAACGGTCAAGCGATCGAGCGGTGAATCTGAATCCACCAACCTGACCTTTTTTGAGATCACGAGTACTCATAGAAAGAAGAATGGTCACCTTCTAGATCGAAAAAAGGGGAGACGATGATCGAAAAAGAGACATCGAGAGTTGGGGAAGAGATGGTCTCGTATTGTAACTCCGTACCGTCGTCCTCTGTGCTCCTAACCTCCCTTCTTCTCCTCTCCTCCTCTCCTATGCGTCTTCGTATATTCATGTTCGTGCTTCGATCCACCTCCTCCTCCGTGAAAATAATCCATTGAATAACAAGAAGAAGATAAAACTCTGCAAAGAAAAAAGAAAAAGACAAAAAGACAGAGAGAAAAAAAGCCTCCAGATATCATTCCATCAGAATCACGTACCTCATCTGTTCGTTTCCCCTCCTCAAAAACAATCAGGGACACGATCATTCGGTCCAGACAGGAAAAAAAAAAAGAGCAGATAGCCAACCCATTGAACAGAAAAAAAAAACCTCTCTCTAAAACAAACTCATCCAGGGCTTTTTTTTGGTGTCGTCATAAGGGTTACATAGCGTATGTGTAAGAGCCATACACAAAATCAAAATCGAAATTCAAGAAAAACCGAAGAAGAAAAGAGAATAATCAAAAAAGCCTCCCAGTAAGGACAAACAGGGCTTCTTCACTTCAACATCAGCATCGACCCTGTCAGTACCCAAGGGTATAATATCAGTTTTGCATCCAAACTCCTGCCAGAGGGCTGTGTAGTTGGTGGTATCCAGCATATAGACGTCAAAAAAAAAAGGACAGCGCAGAAACAAAGAAGTAATCAAAAAGCCGACCAATTTAAACGTAAAGCAGAAGGAGGAAAAAGAATGAGCAACTTCTTTTTTTTTTTTTTTGGGGGGGGGGGGGGGGGGATTTGGTGTGGTATATATGCATGTGTTGGGAGATTGAGAGGTATCAAAGGCAGTCGAGTCGAGCACTGGGAAGCTGCATAGACGGGTCGTCAAAGTCGAGCTTGGGCTCCATGTAGATGCCAAACATGGCGGCTGCCCCGAAAGCCGGCATGTGTCCGATGGTCGTCATCTCCATGGGAGCATGGTAGTCGGTCCAGAGGGGCATGTCTCCCGTCGTTGCGGCCTGCGCAGTCTGGTAGACGGCCGATGCGGCGTGTTGGTGGATGGCATGGTGATGCCGGGGGTTGCTGTTGAAGGCCATGTCGTGCTGGGCATGGGGCTGGGTCGCGGCGTAGTGGTGGTGGTGATGAACCATGGGGGTGGCCGCCGCCGCCGCCGCGGGGATGGGGGCCGGCGGTGCCGGGTCGTAGAAGGAGGCGGCGGAGCAAGGGTTGACGACGAAGTGGGGAGACGGCTGCTCGTCCGGTATGTGGATCTCGTGAACGGCGTAGGGCATGTCGACATGGGAGGGGCGGTCGTGCGACGGCGCCATGTAGTACGGCGCTACTGCTGCTGCTACTGCCGCCGCCGCCGCCGCCGCTGTTGTTTCTGCTGCTGCTGCTGTTGTCGTCGACGTCGTCGTGGTGCGCGGGACGGAGGAAGAGGCCATGGTCGACTCGTCGTCATCCTCAGAGGGAACGTAGGCTGGTGTCTTGGTCATGACGGGACTCTCCTGCGACGAGGAGTAGACGCTCATCGTCGAAGAGTGCGGCTGCGGCTGATCGGTGGGCGTCGTCATGTCGAGGCCGCCGACCATGCTGCTGACCTGCGACACGGTCGAGCGACGGCGGTAGATGCCCGCCTGGGAGTAGTCGCTCTCGCTCTGGGAGAGGTCCGGGACGGGCGTGGCCGAGTCCGAGCCTGCCGACAGCCCCTGCTGGTCTACCGGTAGTGACCATGCCAGTCCCGCGTTGGGCTGGTGGTAGGGCGTGTGCGGTGACGACTCCACGTAGTCCGAGTCCATGTCGTACGGCTCGGCAACGTCGCCGGCAGGTGAAGAGCCTGGCTGGTGCGCGCGCCTCTGGTGCTTGATCATGGTTGTCTTGCGGCAGAAGCTGCGGATATTCAGTCGATGTCAGCTCTACCCAGCCTCAGCCACGCCCCCTCCTCTCCTCTTATTCTCTTCTCTCTACTCTTCTCTCTACTCTTCTCTTCACATCTAGACTCCGGTAGCGACTCACCTCTTGAGGCAACCGTTCTTGTTGCACTTGTATGGCCTCTTGCCCGTGTGAATCCTACGGTGGCGGGCAAGACTGGATGACTGTACGTAGCACAGTACAAGTTAGGGCACATATCTTGACCACACACGAGGTCGGGAGGGAAGACGGTGGGATGTGATGTCACGTACGTCGGAAAAGCTCTTGCCACAGCCGACTTCGCTGCAGACATGGGGCTTCTCGCCGGTGTGGGTGCGGTTGTGAACCGTCAAGGCGCTCTGCTGGATGAAGCTCTTGCCGCACCGGGGAAACGGGCAGTGATAGGGGCGCTCATTGGTGTGGATCCTGTAGTGTCTCTGGAGATCCGACTTGCGGTTGAAGCTCTACCGGACGTGTGAGCTTTGGGGTATGGAAGGGGCGGAGGAAGGAGAGGCAGCCGACGCCAGGATGCGAACAATGGACGATCCTTGTCTGCAGGTGAACAGTGAACATACCTTGGTACAGGATTCCCAGTCACAGCGAAAAGGTCGCGAGGTCGGCTCGTTTTCGACAAGTTCCAGGAGCTCCATGGTGCCGATTGTCGGTGTTTGGGGTCGCCGGATGCGTCTGTGCGGTGCTATATTCCTCTTGGGATGGGTGATGATCTCGAGAGGCTCTGGATGGCGAGGTGACTCGTTATATATCAACTTGCTTCCCACAGGTTACAGTTGACGGGCTGGCAGCTGAGTAGGAGGCCGTAGACACTCAAGAGAGGGGTGGGTAGTGAGTCGGTCCTGGTGGTTGGGGAAGAAGTCTTGTCTTCTATATCGGGAGGCTCATATGTTTACTCTTATGTGTGAGGGCGAGTCGAGGTGTATATACGTTCAGAGACTTGCGTGTGTAGTGGCGAAGAAACTGTGTCTCGTCGTCGTTGTGGATTTGCTGAGGGGGGTTCCCAGGTAGAGACACACGGATCGACGGTTGATGTCGAAAGATTTCGAAACATGAAAGGGTAGTAATTGGAGAGAGGAGGAAGAATGATGAGAGGGATCGGGGGTGTGGTGGTTGGGGAGAGAGGGGAGAGGAGGGATACTAGTAGTAAAAGGACAACAGGTCTCGGGACATTATCCAGGTCGAACTGGACGACACGATCGGGGTTTTTTTTTTTTTTTTTTTTGAGAATGGGGACAAAGTGAATGGGCAACAAACGGAAGGGTTATCTGTTCGAGTCATGGAAAAAAAAAAGAAAGAAAGAGCAGTAACAAAAAAGGAAAAAAAAAAAAGAAGAAGAAAAGGCAGGAAAAAGAAAAGAAAAAAAAACAGAGACAAGTCCCTGGTCTCTCTTTCGAGCTCTTTGAGACCGGGGCGACTAACTGTCGAGTGGGAGATGGGAGGCAAGGGAGAAAGGGCGGGGAGAGGGTCCGGCCAAGACTCGGGTCGTCTATGAGTGCTACGGTTTCGAAAGAAGACAAGAAAATGCAGACTGGAGTCTCGCTACTACTACTCCATACATACACACATACATGGATATACGGTAGCTACTCGGAGGAGATATACAATACAGCTGCAATTCAACAGCATCGGTCATGGATGGCTCCTCTCGCTCTCCTACCGAGAAAGGTACTTGAGAGGTGAGAAATGATGGCGAGAGAGGTAGATGTACGTACATCTTACATAGATGCAGGGAGGAGACCGGACGGGAGCATGGTCTCTACCAAGGGACGGCCGTGTCTGTCTGTGTGAGTTGAGTCGTGGGCGAGAGTGGAGTTGCATGGGAAAGTCGGGAAGTCTCTGGAGGGGTGGGAGGGAGCAGAGCAGAGCAGACCAGGACAAGCCTTGTCTCTTCCTCGGACGAGAGAGCAGAGCATAGGTCGGCCCGTACAGGCCTACGGAGTATTGCTACCAAGGTATCGACACGATCTAGTCTGTGGCTACCAGCCAGGACAAGTGGCACGTCGCTATCGACTCCCATAGGTTGAGGGCTACATCGCACCGGGACAGAGAGAGGAGGAAGTTGAGCTGATGACTTGCCGGCGCCGCCGGTGCGAGAAGCAGCGGGATGGAGACCTAGCAGGCGGGGACTAGGACGGAAGACCTAGAACGGGGAGAAGGGAACCTAGACGGGTAGGGCCAGAGTGGTCTCCTTCCTGCCCCCCTCCCCCTTCCCCTCCCCCTTCTCCCCGTACCGGTCAGATGCCACCCTGTTCTTCTCGTTGATCTGCTTTCTGTCTACACACTCTTCCGATGAGCGACAGTTTACACACACACACACAGAGAGAGAGAGAGAGAGAGAAGAGAGAGCGACGGATCGGGTTCCCAAAAAACGTGCATGGATGTAATTGAGCATGCGTATGCGTGCGTGTGCTGATCCCCCTCCGGGGGGCAGGGGGGGAGGGGTGTGTGGCACGGAGATGGATGGTGAATCGTCTGTCCAGGAACCGATACGGCAGTACGAATGCACATCACCAGAACGATGCGAAGTACGACATCTGATTTGACCCGTAGGTAAGACTGCTAATACTACTACCATCGTGGCCAGAATGAGCGCGACTCGAGTCTGCACATGGAAGAGCCGCAGAACACATCGGATCATTGCAGGGGGGGGGGAGGGGGGGGATGATCAAAGGGCTGCAGCAGCAGCAGGGGACATGGGAGACTAATAAGAGAGTCATGAGCCGGGGAGTGTAGCTGAACTGGGCCTGTAAAGAGACAAGAGGTGCGGGCGCGAGAATGGGGGGGGGACTCGGAGAGGGGCTAGCCAGATGGCAGCAGGAGGGGGAGGACCGAGGAGGAGACCCAGATATTGATGGCCAGGAGGAAACGAAGGTATGCGTCTCAGCAGACGGGAGGGAAGACACGACAGAAGGCGATTGGCTGATGGTGATGTCTCGGTCGTGGGACACCGGTGCTGCGACACCCATGGGATGGATAGCGCCGTTTACGGGGTAAGGTACGGCGTACAGGTACGAGATACAAGAGCGAGCTACTCCTGACGCAGACCGTGGTTTGGGAATGGTAGGGGTGAGGAGGGGTGAGGAGGACGAGGACGAGGAGGAAGAGAAGAAGAAGGACGAGGAGGTGGAGGAGGTGGAGGACGAGGACGAGGACGAGGACGAGGGGGGAAGATGGGATGTACTGTTCCTGTACAGAGCAGTCAGTCAGAGGGAGGAAACTACTACCTGTGCACGTACGTGCTGTACGGGGAACCTGTGGTTGTCTCTGTACCGGTAGTGCTGCTATAGTACTACTAGTAGGTTATATATGTAATGAGCCGATTATCATATGCAGCGTACGGTGGTACGGGAAGTATGTATGCGTGTGCGTATGTATGCGATGCGATGCGATGTAATACTCTACGAGGTATCCAAGGTGTGAAGTCGCGGAAGTGCAAGGTCAGAGCTCTGCATGCGTTTTGCAGACGCGCCCCCCCCCCCCCCCCCCCCCCCCCCCCCCCCCCGGCTGGACATGATGTGGTTGATGATGACGTCGACCGCGGCGTGTATGCGTGTACACGAGGCGAGAGGACGGGATACGTCTAAGGAAGAAGAAAATACGCGGCCAGAAAGAAGGAGAGGGGGGAGGAGGAGGCAGGAGAAACCGAGAGGGTGGAAGAAGGTAGGGAACAATGGGCAGAGGGAAAGAGGGAAACAAAGACTCCCTCTAGCCTCTGCAGGAAAACAATTAGATTTTCCAATCTGAATAATATAACGGCAAGACTAGCGGGCGATGGATTAGGGCCTTTTTGATTATTAGTGGGCATGCTGCGTACGGGTAAAGAGATGACAATATTCAATGCTATAGCTACAGCATTACTTGCTGCGAGTACTGGTACTACTACTGCTGCTATCATTATTACCATTACTACGAGTAATATTACTGCTACTATCATTATTACCATCACTACGAGTAATATTACTGCCGCTGGCTACCTCTGAGAGCAGGACAACGTCTTCGGCACATCACCTAGAGCCAACCATACCGGGTACACTCTTCCCAGAGAAGGGAGATTCATGAAGCTCTGCAATGCTATGCAATGGCTGGATACGGTGGATCATGACGCCGCAGCCGTTACCAGAGCCTGTCCGACTCCCTCTCTCTCCCTCCCTCTCTCCCTCTCGTACCCGCACCAGCGTCGAGGTGAGGAGGAAGAAGAAGGGAAAAAGGAAAGAAGAGAAAGAAAAGAAAAGAAGAAGACAATCACAACACGAACCGGTCGTCGCACCATCAGTATCCATGCATGTAGATACGGAGCCAGCGACACGGGCACTAGATGAAAATCCTGGTAGTCCGGGCCCCGTAGCTCGTGTACCCTGTACAGCCAAGACGACCGAGAAGTGGGTGTGGATAGGCGCCGTACCGCAGTACCCGCTACTGGCTGGGAGTACGGAGTAGTAGCGCTACTAACTCTCACATATCCTCGTAGCAGTGATAATACTACTAGCAATTACGCCTAGCCCGATAGCATCGCATGTACCACATGTACTATTACCCGCCACGGAATAATGCTCGCAAAGGTTACGAAGTACTCGTAATGTTACGAGATGCTCATAACGGTACGGAGTGCCCCCGTACGTTACGTGGTCGATGGAGGCAGGTACGCCTACGAACACATGTACTCCGGTACTCCAGTCCATGATGAACAGGGTCATGGTGCGATGCACCCGTGGTCTGGCCCGCAGTGGAGGGGGGGGAGCGAGAGGTTGCTTGGGGTCTAGAGAGCTAGAGAGGGGGGGGCTTGGCTTGCGGCCGGCATGGCCCGGGGCCGCTTGTGAACGTTTCTCGCAGGTGATTACCCGCACCTGTCCATCATGTCAGCATACGGCCGTGTGTAGGATATGCAGCGGTGGTGACGAGGTTGACGCCGACGGGAGCCATCACCGTACAGGCCGATGGCATTCACGGCGGGAGCCCTCTGCCAGCTCTACCCGTAACCGTGCTCTCCCGCTCCCCCGTCAGAGAGCCCGCCCCGGGCATGGCTGCTCCTGCCGTAGGCGACCACCCCAGCAGCGCCGCTGCAGCAGCAGCAGACGGGAGAACGGGAGATCTGCGGGCCCTGCCCAGCTGCCCCCGTCGTACAATACAACTGTGGAGGAGTCCGGCTGACCGATAAGGTAAGCAGATGTGGGGACGAGCTCAACCAGCACGGCCGGCATGATCAGACGGGGGGGGGGGGGGGGGGGGGGGGGGTCCAGGTACGTATCGACGCCTGTAGCTCTGCAGCCCATGAGCCCAGCAGGTCGCTCGCAGCCTACAGGGGACGCGGTGCTGGTAGTGCCTGGCAGTGCTCGTGGGCCTTGCCCTGTGGCTCCCCCCATCCCCCCATCCTGTGCGGCCGGTATTCGACGCTCGTGAGACTGTCGACCATTACAGCTCACAGCACTAGTGTAGAGGTAATCAGCAGGCTATGATAGCCCGCGATGGAATGCCTGCGCGTGTAGCACTACTGCTGCTGCTACTGCTGCTGCTACTGCTGCTGCTGCTACTACTACTACTACTACTTACTGTATTATATATAGTATCATATATAGTATCATAGATAGTATCATAGATAGTATCACATGTACATGTATAATCCTGTACGTACGTCGTG